GCTAAACCCAAACCCAAACCCAAACCCAAACCCCCCAGCAGCCCCCCCACCCCACCTGCAGCAGCAGATTCGCCTTGGTGTGCGGGTCATCTGCCGTACGACTATCCGGGGGGAACCTCACCCCGCGGCACATGGCCGCGTTGATCTTGTCCTCGTTGTGGCGAACCGGCAGATCGTCAAACTCAGACACCGAGCAAAGGGCCTTGAGGCAAAAGGGGGAAAGGTAACGTGTGCGTGTGCGTGTGTATGTCAGGTGTATGTGCGTATGCATGTGGGTACAATCCCCAGAACCCCCCAAAACACCCACACCTACCCGCCCTCCTTCTTCCCCTCCCCCGCCCCGCCAAGACGAAAGGACCCCTGAGAGCCGAGACCGAAGAAAAACATACACACATATACACATATACACTTACGCACATACACACATACACACATACACACATACACACATACACACATACACACATACACACATACACACATACACACATACACACATACACACATACACACATACACACATACACACATACACACATACACACATACACACATACACACATACACACATACACACATACACACATACACACATACACACATACACACATACACACATACACACATACACACATACACACATACACACATACACACATACACACATACACACAATCCCCCCACCTGCAGCAGCTCCTGCACCCCCATGCCGGGTCCCATGCTGCCACCCAGCTGGCTCATGGTCTTATGCTGCAGGTAGTAGAAGGAGGCGATGCGGCCCAGTGGGGTGGGGCTGACGGCGGAGGGCGCCACCTCCTCACCGCCGCCGCCGTCACCTCCGTCCGTATCGTCCCCCAACGTCACACACCTAGAGGAGGAGGTGCCCGCGGCCAGTCCAGTCCGGGAAGCGGTTCAGCGGTTGAAGGGAGGCAGGGAAGGAGGGTTTAAAGACGCGGGAAGTCAGAGGGCGCGTAAAGAGAGGTGGTTGGGAGTTGTTGACCAGTTCCTTCCCCTCCACCCCCACCGCCACGATTTCCGGACCCCCCCCTCTTTCCCCCCCTCTCTCCCCCCCTCACCCCGCCTCCTCTAGCTGCCCCAGGGCCGTGGCCACCAGCCGGCTCATGTAGGTGTTCACGGAGTCCGAGTCGGTGCCCTGCAGGTCGTAATAGGTGGGGTTCTGCAGCAGCCGCCGGAAGAAGTACGTCCAGGTCAGGTAGTCCACTGCGTCCTGGCGGCTGCGGATGGTGCCCGCCACGATCTCGGCGTTGAAGTGGTCGGCCACCTGCGGGAGGGAGACAACAACAGGGGAAAATCGCCCCCGCGGGACACGGGGTTGGGGTTGAGATCGCCTGTGTACGTATGTATGCATGTATGTACATGGAACAAGCGATGGGACGTACATACACATGTAGACATACACGCATGCACACACTGTCTCTCTCTCTTGCCGTACCCCGTACCTGGTCCTGCAGACTGGACTCCACGGGAAAGGGTTCGTACAGGAAGCGCTTGTAGAACTGCTTCTTGGGTTCGTGCACCATGATCACAGCCACCCCGTGCCGGTCGAACTGGGGCCGACCCGCGCGACCCATCATCTGTCCCGACCAGGTGCGTGACGGAGTGGGTGGCGAGTGGGCGGGTGGGCGAGTGGGCGCGTGGGGGAATGGGCGAGTGGGCGGGTGGGGAAGTGGGGAAATCAAATGGAGTACCAAGAAAAACCAGTGTCTAGACGTCCACAGTTGGCGAGTGTGTGCGTGTGTGGGGAGAGGCGTGGGGGTTGGCGAGTGTGTGCGTGGGGGGGTTGTAACCCAGCATGTAAGCCCCCCCTGCAGCACACCCCACTGCGGCTGAGGGGGGGCCCTAAGGGTGCCACAGGGGGTTCCCTGACGGGCCGGCAGCAGGAGACACACACATACATACACACATACACACACACAAGGCGGTGTGGGGGAAGTGGATTGACAGACGAGTCCTGGGACAAGTTGTTCCAAGATGTCAAACTGCCGATGCCCCAGACACATACGTGCACACACACACACACGCCGTACAGTCACCTGCAGTACATCCGTGATGGGGAAGTCCACGTATCTCCCGCCGGGCGCGTCGTAGTACTCGGTGCCCTTGATGATGACCAGGTGCGCGGGGGTGTTGACACCCCAGGCCAGGGTGGAGGTGGCCACAAGAACCTGACAGGAAGATCACAAGACCGCAACATGCACGAAACAGATGACGTCCCAAATCGCAACAAAACAGAGCAAGAAAAGCGACAAGCAGTAGCAGAGGAAGCAGTAACAGGGGCAGTAGCGGTAGCCGCGGCAACAGCAGCAGCAACAGCCTTCCCTTTTTATGTTCCTCTTTCTATCACACACACAGCCATACACCACCACACACCACCACACACCACCACACACCACCATACACCACCACACACCACCACACACCACCACACACCCCCACACACCACCACGCACCCCCACACACACCCACACACACCCACACACCCACACACACAGCCCACCTTACCTGGATTTTACACTCCACAAACAGCCGCTCCACGAGGCCCCTGTCCTTATCCCCCAGACCCGCGTGGTGCAGTCCGATACCGAACTGAAGGCAGTGCCGCAGCGCCGCGTCCTTCACCCCGACCAGACAGCCCTCCAACTCCGACTCCGACATGCGCAGGAACTGCTGGGGCCGCTCGTCAGCCACTGCGGGGTGTTGTGTGTGTGGGGGGGGGAGTCGAGGGGGTCGGGATGGGGGGAGAGAGGAGAGGAGAGAAGCGGGGGACGGGGGGGTACGGCGGGACAACTAGGGTTTTAAAACACACGACGAGACGTGGAGGCGAGAGAGGGGTGCATGGGACGAATCTGGCGGCGCAGATATGGTGTAGCGTAGCGAATTCACCCGACATCAAACCTGCCCGCCAGTACAGTAGTACAGTAGTACAGTAGCACAACCCTGTACAATGGTAGCCGTACTTGACGTGTTCTGTCGTACCTGCGTACGTGATGAGATCCAGCGCGGTCAAGCGAGTTTGCCGGCGGGATGACACGAACACAAGCACGGGCTTGGTGGGTGAGTGGACCTGGAAGGGGGGGAGAAGGACACCAATCCCGGGAGGCAGCGGGAAGGGTAAAAGGGACACGTGTCGTGTATGTACGGCATATATGCCGGTGGCCGGCAGCGTGGCACTTCTCTTCCACTCCCACCTTTCCCCCTCTTCAAGGCAGCGGTCTTCCTATCCCTCACCCGCAAAACACACGCACACGCAAACATGCACGCACACACATACACACACAACCTACTTTTCCCCCTACCGTTCACTGGCGGCCTTCCCCCCCGCCCCGACCTCGCCTGTATTGCTGCATACGCGGGTTTGTTCATGGACGCCATTCTGGGGCAGTAGAACTTGCCCGGGAAGCCTTGGATGTGGCACTCCAGGGGAACAGGTCGTACGGAGGGCTTGAAGTTGAACAGACCCGCGGGTCCGATACCCAGCCAATCCGCCAGGTCCTGGGGGCCAGGGGGGCAAGGGAGTGGTGGCGGGGGGGGGGAGAGTTATGCCTATGGGGTGATTGCTTTCATGGCGCGGGGTCTGTTATGCGGATTTCGGAGCGCATGCGATGTGTTCGTACATTTTAGTTGGAGTGTGTGTTAGAAGGGTGAAGGTGTATGTGTATGTATGCATGTGTTGAGGGTTTTCCGGTTGGTGCTGGCGTTGCTGTACAGCTAGCAAAACCCAACGAGCCCTACCCACCCCCCTCAGCAACACGGCCGCTCAGGATTACACAGCTCCCGCTCCCCCTCCCTCGCACTCGCACCCCCTCCCTCGCACTCGCACCCCCTCCCTCGCACTCGCACCCCCTCCCTCGCACTCGCACTCGCACCCCCTCCCTCGCACTCGCACCCTCTCCCTCGCACTCGCACCCCCTCCCTCGCACTCGCACCCCCTCACTCGCACTCGCACCCCCTCCCTCGCACTCGCACCCGCTCCCTCGCACTCGCACTCGCA